TCTAGATGGAACAAACAAACATCTTTTCTGGCATGATGGAATGCAGCCTTGGCTAGACTCAGCTAGCAGTAGTCATTTTGAAACCACAGCTGTCCAAGAATGAGGGGAAGATTGTGGAGCAGAGTGGGTATATCATATTGCCTCTAATCCCCAGGCATCTGGAAAGGTGGAATGGTACAACGGCTTACTTGGAACTGCACTCCAGGGAAATGGAATCTCACCTCTACAAAGTTGGGGGAGAGCAAATTAACATAAAAGTAAGAAGCCATCATAGCAGCCCTGCAGAAAGCCACACATCCTAAGTTCAGCTGGGTGACAAAGTACCAGCCAGCCCTGGGGACACCAGAATGGAGACAAGTTTGTGTCTATCCTCCTGCAGCAATTGAAATCCCTAAAGGAGGAGTCCTTACCACTTGAGGATCAGGAATTACCTACTATGTGGCCTTTGGAAAAGTGATAATGAAATTAAATACATGTGCCAAGTAATCTTATTTAACTTCATAAACTATGCTGTGTGTTTTAGAGACACAAGACATATGTGTTTGCAGTCAAGATGCATACCCAAACAGTTCCTAGGTACATGTTGCTCAAGAATGTACAGGGCATGAACTGGTCAGGGTTTCAGCAGCAGAGGGGTGCAGGGTGCCCTATCTGGGAAGAGGCCATGAACTGCCCTGTGCCACGTAGAGTCACATCCAGTTGGCACTGACACCAGTGGTACGCACCAAACCTGCAACCGGGCAGAGGAGCACAGAGTATCCCTGCTCGAACACACGTAAGAAAGAGCAGCAGCCAGCAGGGACAGAAGACGCATGAGGAGACGGTCTGTGAGGCTCCCAGAGGGACAGACTAGAGAGGGGACGTGTGGCTGGAGATGTGCTCTGGGCAGGAGAGATTCCATGCCAAGAGGGTACGTACCTGCGGGACTGCAGCTATGAGCCACCCACATCATCCCACTGAGGGACTGAGGCTGTGGGCCACTCGCACCAGAGCAGCATCAGCCCTTGGGGACCGTAAGCGACCCTCCCTGAGGCAGGGACACTGAGAAGCAAAGGGGAGCAGAGGAAAATCAGCAGGAGGCAAGGAGGAACACCAGAAAGAAACCATTAGGCACAAGACCTTCCTGCTCTGCCGGTCACCTCACTGAAGGAGCAGGGGATGGGCTGAGCATAACCTGCAGCAAAAACCAGAGAAGCTGAGATGGGGGAGAGGGGATGTTTGGCTTAAGTTTAGCCAAGTGAAGGGCAAGGATCTTAGGTGTATGACTGATCCTTTTCCTTCTTTCAACTCTCAAATCCATGATTAGAAGTTTGTGTTCGCTGACAGTGAGCTAATTTAAGCAAAAGTTCCCCAAGCGGAGACTGTTTTGCTCATAACATTTTCACTACGCTCCATAGAGTAGGTTCCTGTGCCAGAGCATGGAAAAACAGTTTCACTAAAAGAGTTTGCCCCTGGCAAGATGATCTTAGCTCATGAAGATTACTATTATTACTGCATTTCACTAACACAGCTGTTACCTGATGAAATACAAGTTAATTGCAGTGAGAGGCACAAGACAGCAAGAGTTAAAGCAGAGCCCTTTCTCAAACGTAGGTGACGACCCCACCACATGCACCAGAGTAACATCAGGAAAATACTGAAATTGGTCTTGGCTGGATGGCAGTAGGCTGAGTCATGCTTAACTCTTGCCAAGTTAAATCCCTGTAACTACAGAAAGCTTAAGGATTGTTGCAGTCATTTCATTTTGATGTAGCAGTACAGTGGCCATTTTATATAAATAACAATATATTAAAAAACCCTCTTACCTATTTCAAATTAAAGGAAATAGGAAGATGGAGAAACATGTGCTGCACATTTCAAGTTCATGCCGCCATGTATGCACACTACCGTTGCCACTAAAATTGTTCAGCTGAAAGAAAGTTGTGTGGTGTTTGTTTGAATTTTAATTAGATTTAAAAGGCAAACAAGTCCAGAGCCCACAAAGCAGAGATCAGTCTCCAGCAGTCCCTGCGCCACCTCCCTGCTCCAGCTGAAAGCTCTATCTACTACATTACAGACAGGCTCATTCCACCAGCTTTCATCCAACTAGTCATTTTTCTCAACACTGACTTGCCTCGACAAGAAGTCAGGGGCACAAGTGTTTCCTTCCCTTTGCTTGTAGTCCTGTAATTACAGCAGTCTTATGAAGAAGGGATCTCCACCTGTAACACACCTTAGGCTACTGATCTTAGAACACAGATACCTCAGCTTTCAGCGTGTATTTTGCTCACCTCCCAGCGTTCACTACCACAACTGTCTCTTGTGGCAACTGTGTTTCAGTCAGCAAGTTCTATTCAGTTCTTACAAAGGATACTTAAAGCATATATTCCTTATTCCAAACTAGAGATCCTCAGTAAGCAAACAGCTTTTTATGCCTTGATTTTCCAGAACTTCTGAGCCTTGTGTCTGCATGCAGCAGTTTTCTGCCGCTCATCGTGCATGCATTTTTTTGATTCTCCTTCTGCTGTGTTGTGCTCTTCATATCAATTGTATAGAAGATCTGCTGCCTAATACATTTTTTGGTTTTCTTTTGAAAAAAACAGATGCCTAAAATTAGATGCTGGGCTAACCTGGTGCTTTTGCAGATGTAAAATGGCTGAACCAGTCTCATACAGCCAGCCAAAGCAGGAAGCCTCCTGCCCTCTCCTCCCTGGCACCCACCTCATTTCCACTCTCCACTCCCCTGTGCTGGCTCCAATACCCATCAAACACTCTGCAGAGCAAACTCAATGCACCAGATTAGTCATTTGCTGACTTATCAAGCTGAATCATCTCAGTACAGGCCCCGGTGGGCACCAGACCAAACACAGGAGGACAGAAATGGAAAGATCCTGCTCCTCAGCAGGGATGAGCTGTCAGACAGCCTATAGAAACTTATGATATAAAATCTCACATTTGACCTTCCTCCAGATCCAGCCCCAATGGTATCTAAATTCTGGCTTTGCATGACTTGCAGCACTTAGACTTGACAAATGAAACAACACTTGAATACCAGTTTTGAGGTTAAAACTTCAAGTTATTTTTCTAAGAAAGCTCAAATAACAAAGCTCACCCTTACTTAATAATACAGTCAAATCCTCATGATATGATAAATATTGTTTTAACACTAGCAGCTTTCATGTGCCTAAAATGGATGATCCCATAAGAAGCTCTCCGTCCGGAGGCACAGACTTGTCCGCTTGAATCAAGGCGAGCAGTCCCAGTGAAACCAGTCACCTCCAAACTCTTACACAACAGATGAACTGTTTATAAGTCAAGATTCCTTAACTTTCTATAGTAGTTCTGCAAATTCAGACTACAGACAGCCTACCAACAGTGAAATGAAAATTTTCAAAAGTATGTAATTCAGGTCTTGCCTTTATTTTAATTTAAGATTGCACCACCATAAAGCTGAAATTCCCCTGGAGGGCCCCACCCTGCCTAGGCTGACATTCTCGACAGTTCTCAAATTCTTACACATACTGTTTAAAGAAAAAGCATCCAAACTAACTATAACTTGCCTACTTGGTTTGTATTACCAGCATTAATCAGTACCCAGATAAATTAACAAGCTTTTTAAAAGCAATCAGTTAAAAATGTAGCATCATTTTCCTCAGAATTCAAAACAGCCCCTGAAGGCAGTTTTGGTGCACTTTCCCTCCAGTGAAGCAGAAACCAGCCAGGCTCTGTTCACTTCCAAACTTCTCGGCAGAAAGTTTAGAAAGACTGTTGTTGATTGAGTCCAAATACTTCCACATCTTAAGCGCACCACACCAAAGGTCTTTCTATTCATGACCATAAGGACTGCTTGCAGAGGTAGAGAAGCAAGTTGTCCACATAAGTAGGAAGACGATATCTAAATGTTAGCAGCCTGAATCATCTGTCAGTTTTAAAGGCTGTTACTGTAAAATTGTACTATTTTTCCAAGAGCTCAGCTTTGCTAACCTTGCAGCTAAGACCACAATAAGGCCACAGCAGAACTACTTAATTCAAACAGGCTTGATGCCCGCCTGGCATACTGCATGCACTATCTACAGCTTCCAAGTCATAGCTAGGAACTGCTATTTTTCCTGCTCTCTTACAGTGAGGAGAGAGGCACTGGGAACTTCACGACTTTTCTCTACCGTCCAAACTGTTTCCTTATACCAAATATCAACGTGCTATTATTACACGCACACTGTTTTGCTCCGGGTTCAAGAAAATCATCCCTGACACACAACACACTGAAGCCGTGAGAAGCTTCTCAAGAAACACACTGGTGTGTTTTACTGTGCAGTTTTGGGATTTTTATTTTTTTTTTTTTTTTAGAAAGGCTATCATGTGATGGCAGACTTTCTGATGAGTAGCTATCTGATGCCCTGGAATTGCCGTTAACTCTGCTTTCTTTCCTAAAATGGAAGCCGAGCTCCAGCTGAGTTCCCTGCTGCCCCGAAGCCCCCTCCAAGCGTCCTTCAAGGACCCCTCCTGCGCCCACGGGCTCTACTGGGGCGAGTACCACGTATTCACCGAGGAAATTAAAAAACAAGACAAGGTTTCCAGTGCGGGAGGCGGGCAGAAAGCTCAGGAATACTTCCCCAGTTAGTTAAACGGGGAATAAATAAATAAATAAATAAATAAATAAATAAATAAATAAGTAAGTAAGTAAATAAATAAATAAATAAATAAATAAATAAATAAAACAACTGGAAAAAAAAATAAAAAAAAAACAAAAAAAAAAAAAAAAAAAAAAAAAAAAAACAGCAACCCAAAAGAGGGGCCGGAGGGAGAGTGGGCCGTTTCCCTGCTCTGGCCAGACAAGGGAACCCGGCGACGGGGACCCGCCCGGGCTCCTCTCGTCCCCGGGGCCGCTCCTCAGCCTCCGTGCCGAGCGGCGGCGATCGGGGAGCGGCCCCCGGTCCCTCCCCAAGCCCGGCGGGGCTCCGCGGCAGGACGGTGCCCGCCGCTCGCCCGCTCCTTCCCTCCCTCCCTCCCTCCCTCCTCACCTCGGACAGGGCCCAGGACGGCGAGGAGCACCGCCAAGGGAAGGAGCCTCCAGCGCCGCATGGCTGCCCGCCCCACACGCACCAGCCGCTCCCTGACAGCCGCTCCCGCCCGGCCCGAGGGCGGCACCGCGCCCGCGCCGCCCCCCGGGGCAGGAACACGCCCAGGCCGCCGCCCTGACAGAGCGGGAGCGATTCCCCCCCCTTCAGCCTCGAGCCTCGGGGCGGGGAGAGGGAGGGCGAGGGCGGCCCTGGGCCCGCCCGCCCCGCTCGGGCTGCTCCTCACGGCGGGGCCCCGCGCCTCTCCCCTCAGGGCGCGGCGGCCATTACCCGGGGGGGGGGGGGGTGGCGGCGGGCGCTACCTGCTGTCGCCGCGGCCCCGGGGAGAGCGGGCGGTGGCGGAGCCCGCGGTCCCCGGCGGGCTGAGGCCGGGAGCCCGGTGTCCCGTGGGGCTGGGGAAGGAGCGGGGCTTCGCGGCGGGCGGGTCGGTGCCGCTCAGCCCTGGCCGCTCCTCCGCGGCCCGCCGGCGAGCAGAGGGAAGCACCAGGGCGGGGGGGGGGGGGCACCGTTGGCTGGGTGAAATGAGCGCCAGGGCTTAAGCGCTGGCCGCAGGCTCTAAGAGTAGAGGCGCATACTCTAGTCTTGCACGGCTGCCCTCTTTTCACCCGGGCGCTCCCTTTCCCTGAGGAAAAGTTACCCAACGCATCAGGACACCTAATAATCTTAAACCGTAATAAGCTTGCTTTTTCTCTGGTCGGATAGAAGATCGGTAAAATAGCTTTGAGTTTTTGCAAACGGTGCCGCACTGGGCCCACAGCTGACGGGAACAAACGCCAACAAACCCCTGGGCAGTGAGTTTTCTCTAACTCAGTTTTGCTGGTGTGGGAAGACAAATGTTAAAGACCCTGTTTTTTGCATAAGTCTTGTCTAGGTCGAGGTGCTCTGCTCAGGGGCGCGGACGGCAAAACCACCTCAAATCCTGGGTTTCCACTTGCCGAGCGTGCGCTCGTTGTTAACTGGATAATAAGCTGTTCAGTGGCGCACAGCGTGTGGCTTGGAAGCTCACTGGTGGCGTGCGCCTGACTTGGATTCACTGGTCGTGGGTCCCTGACAGCTGCAAAAGTGGAACGTCATGAAGTTAGTGAATCACCGTCGCCAGTCCATAAATTGTTGGTAATATTTTTTTCCTCTGACAGCGCCTAGTCGAGTAATTTTTAGATTTAACCTGAGGCAATAAAGAGTTTTAACTGTAGTAATAAACATGTTTAATCTTTAAATGATGCTGCATTTTGAATGAAGGATAATCTTTTTCATTAAAATATCTGAGTTTTGCAGGAGTAGTACTGAAGTCAACATTACATTGTTGTTAGCAGCTTCCTTTTTTCTGGACTCCAAGCCTAGAAAGTAGATGAATACACACACATGCACTGTGTAATCCAGCAGTATGGAGCTAGTCATTAATGGTATGTGCACATACACAGGAAATTATCAATGTTACTCAAAGGATGTCCTTTAACAGAGTGTTTGTTTTTGACTGTTGTTAAGCATCGCGTAGGAAGTTGCTCTCTTGACAAAAAGGACAAGAATTGGTACACCTCAGAGTACAGCTCTGTTCTCTATTTAATCACATCATACCAAACAACATTTTTATGTTTCCCTCTCAGGATTGCAGAACTAACAGAAAGCCTAGTTATCTCGCTGGAATTACCACATTATATCAGGACCCTGTAGCTTCCTGTTTCCAAAATTAGTCTTTGACAAAGTTGCCACCTTCAGATGAGATAAAAGCAACCTCCTGTTAGAACAGATGTGAGACGACTGCACTTTGCACTAGACCTAGCGGTTTCCACTTGGCCCAGTCCTTGAGGCAGGGGTACAGTTTGCTGGCACTAGCCACTTTATGGATAATAAATTTTACAGAATTAAGAATATCCAGTAGTTTTTTTCAGTCTTGCTAATCTTTTAATTTCACTGACATCTTGTGAAAATGAGTTTCATTATTTATGGATACCAGCTCTTTTATGTGTGGAACTTTGATTAGAAAAAAAACCCAGGCTTTGTCATTTCACAGGTAAAGCCAACTCATCTGTAAAAATAAAAATAAATTAGTATTAAGGCTAGTTATCTGATTGTGTGAGTAACACGCATAATCCAAGACCCGCTTCTTCGAATAGCACCTATCTTTGGCTTGGTCAACCTGCAAGGGTTGTCCCAGCAGGTCTTTCACTCTGCCTGTGTCCGGCCCATAGCCTCTGCCAGGAAGCCTCTGAAAACAGCTCGGGCGTTTGCCTGATCTGAAGATGCCTTGGAAGGAGAGAAGGTTACCTTAAAACTCATTTCTAAAGAACAGGGTCTTTAAAATACATACACGCATATGGTTTCACCCAAAGAGAATTATGACTTATACAGCAGCACAATGAAGACTGGAAGTTGTAAACTCAGGTGAAACTTCAAATTTCAGCAAACTCAGTAATGTGAGCAGCTAGAGAGCTGTCTTTGTAGCAGTCTGTGAGCTCTGAAGATAAATGCTCCTTCTTCTCAGTTTCCTCCAATTCCTTTCCTGGAGTAAAGTCCTTGTAGCTCTTTTCCTGCCTCAGTGTAATTTTTTGCTGCTTTTACCTATGAGCTCTCAACCTTGCCAGAGACAGCATAGCTCTCCAGATGTTCAAGGAAGCAAAGGAAAGGCAAATAGATTTTTATTTGCTAAAACAAAGTCTTCGGGGAGCAGTTACAACCTTACTGCTCTGTCCCCTGAGGACAACTTTTGGAAGAAGAGGGCCACAGCCACTGCCAGTGGATGGTGAAACAGATGGGCAAATATGGCACTAGGGGAAAAAAAAAAGGAGGTGGGCAGTATTGGCAGTGGTAAAAAGCTGTTCTTTGATGCACACACATGTTTGGTTTCTCCTCCAAAGTTAGTATGAGTACAAAAATAACTCTGGAAATTACATTGCCTTTTTTGCTTTTACTACTGACCAGAATTTGGCAATACTCTTCAATGACTCTTTATTTCATGTACTATGTTTCTGATGCTGAGAGCACTCATATGTAAGAAGTATATTTGGGTGTGTTGGTGCAGTTGTGGCCTTATCTAACAGCATGCATTGGAAGGCTGTTTGACAGAAGCATATCTTATTTTTGTGAGCAATTGGAAACCAAACTGAAGGGCAGGGTTCCAGGGCTGGTTTCTGTCGTGGCATCTACTGAAGCATGGGTTCTGATCTTCATGTTTATTCTTGCTGTGAGGATACAAAGGTTCACGTTTGTCTATTTTTAAATAAAAGTCAAATATGTGAAATCTTATTTTTTCCCAATGTTTTCATACTTGAGCTGTGAGGAGAAGGGGCTAGTTCCACCGGCAAAATTTCCAGTAAATAAGCACAATATTTTAGCAACAAGTTGAAGTTTTAGGGCCACAAACAAACTGATATGGTATAGTCAGTCAATACAATCTTTTTTTTTTTTTTTTTTTTTTTTTTTTTTAATAATTAAATATAAAGCATGTATTACAAACACAGTTAACTTGCATTTGATCTTTGGTTAAATATTATAAAAAGTGCATCAGATTGGGCTTTTTTTGTTTGTTTTGGTTTGTTTTAAAGAAGTAGCAGTAGTATTTCTAGTTCTAAGGGTATCTTCAGAATGAGCCAGGGTCCAAAAAGGCTCTAGAATCTGCTGCATAACCTCTGCTGGCTCCCCTGTTGTGTGCTTTTTTCTGATGCTCTCTGTTTTGCAGAACAGAAGAGACATTAAGACACTGCAGCCTAAAGGTTTCTTCATAAGGAAACAGATGCCTCTACAACAGCCTGTTCAATAACAAAGATTGTTTCAGGAGACAGTTTCTGTGGGAGATGTGTAGGTCCTGAACAACCTCTGCAAAGGACAATTACCTGGTCTTAGTCACCCTCAGCTTCTCCTGCAGTGAATGCCCTCTTTCTGCTGGTCCTGCTTTTACCCTCCCAGCAGCAGCAATTATTGCAGTACGCCTCCGTGACTTAAAACACTGGCTTGGGCAGTAAGGCACCGAGGTCTATGGCAACCGAGAGCCCATCTCCTTTAAAGCTAATCCCATTTCTACTAATGTAGAGATTTCTCCTCTCCAAATATCAGATGGGTATTTTTACCTTTTCAGATTCCCTCTACACAGCTTTATACTTTGTTTTCTTGTTTGCTTTTTTGTTTGTTTGGTTGGTTTTGGTTTTAATTTTCCAGTCACATCTGTACATACTTTGACTACACTTCCTTTAGACTATCCAAAGACCTTTCTATGCCCAAAGTCTATTACAGTTTTTCATAACACTTCATAGAGAGAAATATGATTTTATAGATTATTTTTCTGCATGCTAATCTACATTTGAAGAGACATTAGGTGAAAAGTTCTTTAAAAAGTAGCTGTATAATATATGACACGGCTGCCACTCAGATTTTAGTTCCATATTAGAACATGCAGATTAATGAAATTACTTACTTCTCTTATACGATTTTTTTTGTTGTTGCTTTACTGATTTTTATCAGAAACAGAGGTATATTTTATTTCCTGCATAACCCCTTTCAAGCAAATCCGGCCTGCAGCAATGACCCTTAACCTGTTCTTCCTTGGTTATATAGAGGCTCTGCTATGCTTTTATGCATACATCAGTAGAATACAGGAAGGCTGACAACCAGGTTTGTGGTAGTGATACATAGGCTATATTTAAGTGTGTTAATCTTTACATCTATAACTGTAGAAACTCACTGCTAATTCTTTCCTGCATATCTTTTCTTAAACAATACATAGATCTTGAGGAACTAACTATCCTACAGTTTTCTGAGCAACCTCTTTACTATTTTTCTCCCCTTCTCTTAGGAGTTTTCTTATTTAGTACATGTAACTGCACCCCTTTTCCCTTAAAGCCAAATTTGTTTTCTTCTGGAATAACTCACACCAGTAGAACTGGAACAAGTAGCCTTTTATCAGGATCAGGTGTTAAATAGCTAGCTGTCCATCAGCTGGGGTACTGAATTACTTGTACATAAGCAGTGTCTTTCTTAAGATCTTTTAATAGTTCCTCTAAAAGATCTAGTGATGTCACAGTAATCAGCATATTAAGAGGTCTTCTTTGTTAGAATTAATTCTGTGTTATTTTTAGGCTAAGCATACCAAATGTGGCTTTTAAAAATTATTATTTTGTATTTTTATGGGTTCCTCTT